CAATGAATCGGATTCAATTAGATAATACCAACTAAATCTAGCGATAACTCCCATTTCTTATTGAATTAACTGATCAACTTGCTATCAATTATTTTTGATTCGGTAATATTCGTGGGCATATTTCACTTTTTTTATGGGAATCAATCCTACTACTTTTAGTTTTATTTCCAAGTCATCTACACTTGCGCAAAAAAGGGTGGGATGTATCGCTCAAATATTGGTCGAGTACTGGATGGAACTTTTCCTCCCCAGTAAGATGCCCAATATTTACAACTCTTTGGTATTTAAGGGTCGAGATATTGCCAGTCAGAAATTAGTGAGACTTGTGAGGCACAACAATTATTAGGAAATAATCGAGTTACAACGATAGCTATGAGTGCTACAGATGGTCTGATGGGAGGAATGGAAGTGATTGACACGGGGGCTTCTTAAGTGTCTGGTTTGCGAAGCCACTTTTGGACTAATTTCCAACGTTTATGGAGAACCGGTCAATAATTTAGGTTCTGTAGATACTCACACATCTACTATTCATAGATCTATACCTGCTTTTATATAGTTAGATACCAAATTATCAATCTTTGAAACAAGTATTAAAGTGGTGGATCTTTTAGCTCCTTATTGTTGTGGAGGAAAAATCGGGCTATTCGAGGGAGCCAGAGTGGGTAAAATAGTACTCATCATGGAACTGATTAATAACATTGCCAAAGCTCCATATATAACATAAAATCTCTCCTCCAATTCTTTCTCGTCAAGCCTCTCGATCTGTCATTATACCTTGAGAAATAGAAAGAATTACAACCTCCATTTTGCTTGAAATCCTAGGAATTCTTTGATAGTTGGAATAGATTCATAGATCGGATCTGGTTATACATTTTAAAGTCTTTCTATATGTCCATTTCATATTCCTTCTATGTCGCAGGGTGAAAACCAGGAAATACTTGTTGTTTTCGCGTTGTTTCTTAACGCTTGCAATAAAACCTTCCTGTAAAATTATTTTAACAATGTTTTCGGTTATATTGATAGATGCTATTCGAACCATTCTTTTTTTATCAATGTCGGCATTTCTTATACAAGTTATTATATTGACAATAGTGTCCTTACCCATGATGAATGATAATTATTAGTATTTCCTGACGTTGATATGATCAACCTGTTCCTTATTTCTTTATTTCTTTCCTTTTTATGAAATGGAAATGAACGGTATATGTGTGGGACACAATCCACTAATTGATTGATCCATTTTAAATACTATATCTCATCTACTATCATTAGAATACCTCGGGAGCTAATGGATAGTAACATTAGAATACGTTGAGAGCAAATGATACTATCTTAGTGAATTTCTAATGTCTCAATTCCCCAACGATCAAACCAAAGACTCGAGTTCCTTTTGGATTTTCCTCTTAATCAATAACAACTGCTGCATTGTCATCATATCATATTATTCTATCGTTGTCACGTTTGAGTTCTTTACATGTATGTACAATTATAGCTCTGATCACTTTTGATCTTTTCTGGGGCAAAGTGGGTACTGCTTCTTTGATTACAAATTTTTATCTCTTTATCGTTTTGGGTACCCCATATTTACGTTGTTTGGGCTTCTATTGAATTGAGAAATAGTTTTGATTGTACATCTTTTATAAGGCATCCTCTGGATAATTCAAATCCAAGCATTTTAATGTCCGATTCAGGCCTATATGACATGACTGATCGATAGAATACTCCAAAACTCCATCTTTGTCATATATTTCATGTATCACACTAGATAGATATATTCGTGGAATACGATTCACTTTCAAGATGCCTTGATGGTGAAATGGCAGACACGCGAGACTTTAAATCTCGTGCTAAAGAGCGTGGAGGTTTGAGTCCTTTTCAAGGCATTGAGAATGCTCATTGAATGAAAAATTCAATAACATAAACATGTCTCAGATCTAATCGATATGGGCAAGTTTGATATGAAGTATTCCGGCGATCCCCACGATCTGAGTCGGAGCTTGTTGGAATGGAATAGGTTCGACAGTCAATCATGAAATCTTGGCGATCTTTCTCTATCTAATCAATAGAGGAGTCTTTTTTTAAATGGTCCGCCCCGACCTACTTGCGAGTATATGATTCAACATGAATCACACAAGGACAGATCGATACGATTGAAATTTCCAGTAAAATGCCCTTGTAACCCAACAGATAGAGTACGTTAAATAGTAAGTTTTAGGGATTGCTTATTATCCATTCAGTGACTTTGGACTCGACGTTCTCAAAATGGGTACTATCGAATCCGGTGAATTAGATAATAGATGTCTGTTGGCATTCCAACCTTCCTCTTCTCCACGGCCTTTCCGAAAGAGAATTAAGCACATCTTGGTCATGAATATCTGAATAGGACGAACCGGCCTACGTTGATATCTTTGCTTTGTTTTTAGAACAAAACAATTAGAATTAGGCCCAATCAACTAGAATTTGTATTGTCCATATAGGAGATATTCCAATTGAGAAGATGTATCAACCTGAGACGAAGGAAACATCTATCTATTTGATTTAGTTATTCAGTTAAACTAATGACTTGTTATTGGAGCAGATAACGACAACCATTTCATTGGACATGTAATGAGCAATAGGTTATGATTGTTCACCATTCAAGAATTCTTATGTAGGCTGTTCATAACATCCATACACAGTGTTTTTATCTAAGATTTCGATTGTTCCCTGTTTCTGCAGTAGCATATTGTTTAGTGGAGCTAATGTCTACAATATGGAATAAACAAATGTTTTCATGACTCTACCACCCAGTCAATTCCACTTAATCCCTATTTCATGGCCACATATCTTTTCTTTCCAGCTTAGAAATGGGAATTTTTTCTCTTGTCACATGAATCAAATGTTTCATTTCATCTGGGAAAATCCATCTCTTTCTCAACAATATCTTTGCCATTTGATCCAATAGCGTTCCGTTAGATAGGAACAGACTTGATAAATACCGATAACTCTCGAATGGTGTATTAGAATAGAAAGATCTATTAGATAATGAACTATTGATTCTAAGCCATCTCTGTCTATGAATCAACAATTCGAAGTGCTTTTCTTGTGTATTCTTGATCATCTACAAAGAATTCTCGTCATGCAAACGCAGAGACAAATGGTTGATCTTTGAATAGGAAAAAGAATGGATCTGCGGGGTACCAAATGAATTGGCTTATTAAAAAAAACCCTTGTTATTTGGAGAATCTATCTCATGTCTGGTACTGCATTGTTTCACTAGGCAAGAACTCCAAATCATTCTCTTGAAGCTTATCCTCTTTATGAGAAATGATCTGTTGCCCCGAAATGACCTGGATCGATACGAAAATCCTGATTCATTGGGTCTTTTGATACAATCAAATAAATTGCCACAAGGGCGTCATATTTTAGGAGCCCAAACTATTTGATTGAGTAAATCCTCCTCTATCTATTGCGGGTCGAGGGTTCCTTCTCCTTCCCCTTCTTCAAACTCCGATTTGTATTTTTCATATAGAAATCTCTGATCAAGAATAGAACAAGATCCATTTTGTTCATATCTAACGGATTCCTTGGTTCAGACTGAAGATGCAATGTCACACGATCATTATCAAACTGATTGCAATCTTTTTTTGTTCGTGAGGATCCACCAGAGCACCTTCTAATAGGCCATGAACTAGATCATAATCATTCTCAAGAAATCCATAAGAAGTGACCGAATTTTTTTCATCGGGTCTGGGTGGAGACCAAAGATTTTGAGCGACTAATGCTGTAGAACGATTCAGAAGGTAAAGAAGTGTTTTTAATTTCTTTATGCTCGTTCCAAATTCGATGTACAATTTGTACAAATAAAATTCCCCTTCCTTACAAGATTTCTTGTTCATATAGGTCGGATATAGGATCTGTGGAGTAATTTCTTAGAAGAACATTTTGTGCAATGGACCTTTCTATTTGATAGAAAAGGATCCCATGATCCTGAACGGATCTTACCTGGGATCTCAAATCCCAAGTTTGTCTATGAAGAGCTGATCTAATTGTATTAGTGTCTATAATTGATTTCTTTTGTGTAATACTAATTGATAGGGCCTCATTGGTAAGTGCTACAAGATCTCGTGCATTGGAACCCATGGTTATGGACCCGAATCTGTTAGTATGGAACATCTTCTTTTCCAAGTGGAATCCCCTAGTATATGAAAGAATGAGAAATTGCTTTCGTTGTTGTGGAATAAGAAGCCTTCGTATGTTAATGGATGTATGTGGCTTATTTGGAGCTATTAGAGCGGGATCCACTTTAGGGGGCTTGTATGTGGCTGCATGGGTATTAATGTATTTTTCTTTGGAAATGCTTATGTAGGAGTTAGTTGCCTTGGAATAGTTGTTGCATAGGTTATGGATTTGGTTTTTGCATGCTTTAGTCAAATGTTTTTGCAGTTCATGATGATTTTGGTCTTTCAATATATAAGAACTTGGTGAGGGGTTTTTAGAAGCATGTATTTAGGTTCTGAGTCTTATAAGAATCATGTGTGGTGGCGTAAAAATAAGGTGACAAATTTTGAATTAAAAGTTCATTTTTTGCAAGCTTGTCTCTGCTGCACTTGGAGTTGGGCGAGTCCTACTAGGACGAGTGATTCCTCCTACCTGTCGTGACTGATTCGCCCAACCCTGCTGGTCGATGGATCTGTGCAATAGCTCGCAGGCCTGGCCTGCCTCATAAATGCTCATATTATTCATCTTCTCATAGAACAAATATCTGATTAAGTGAAAAATTTGAATTTCATCTTTAATTTGATGAATTCCAAGAGTGTGTTTAACTGATCTAGTGGAGCCCATCAGTAATGTAGTCCTTGTATGAGAATAATATATGGGTTCCATTTGTAACAGTCAAATAGAGAAAACGATATTTTTTTTAATGTTATGTTTGGGCCCTTGCATACATGCACGCATGTGTGATTCTGAAACTTCTGATGGCACATCTATAATGTAGTTTTGGTCTATTTGGCATGCAGGACAGTTACAGAAGGATTTAAGGTTAATACACAAAATCAGCTAGTTCCTGTATTGGCAACTGCTATTAAGGTAGTGAATAATTTGTCGTCAATTTTTGATGAACTTGCATTTGGAGATTTCTTTTTGAGAGTGGTTTTACTTTCTTTTACTATCCATGGCTATACAATTTGTCATTAATATGCTTCATGTTCTATTTGGAGGCTTTGTTTCATTAACTCGATAAATAGTTCTATGGCATTGGTACCAATTGACTATTGATTATTGATTGATGTATAAATAACCAATAACAAATGAGAACAATATACTTCTGAAATAGCTCACTATGTTCTTCCATGAATTCAATGATTGTGATGTCTTCAGATCCATTTCATTTTTTATCAATAAAAAATGTAAAATTCAAATATCACTCTCTTTTAATTGAATAGTCTCTGTTTTGCATATCTTAGTTTAACTTTTTTTTTTTTTGAATCTGTTAACTTTTAGTTTAACTTGCAATGGCACTTGATTATGAGTCGATAATATCTCTGATCACTATTTAATTTGTAATGGCACTTGTAGGTTTCTCTGTTGTATTGAGTTTTTGGGTCTTAGAATGTGCTCACTTCCCAAAAAGGATTTGCTGCACTCAATTTTAGTTGCATTTTGACAAAAGAATATGTACTATTCTTATTTCTGATAAAACTAGGGATGGTAAATTGTATAGCAAGGGATTCATTCATTTTCTGCAAAACTTGTTCGCAGAACTCAATTGTCCATGAACTTAGTTTACGCCTCATGCGTCTTAGGATTTATGCCTCCTAGTTATCTAGTTTCTCCTTTTGAGTGCAACATGATTGATTTGTAGGATAGCCTTCTGTATTCTGACCTGGTATCCTTATTCATTGGGATCTGTAGCACCTATTGCATGTTGGAGGAACATGCACTTGAGTTCACTTTAGTTAAGGATTCGCTGATTTCTAGGATTGGACAAGTAGTAACTTTCTTTTCTGAATTTTATTTCTCTTTCTTTCAAGATCTGTGTAATTTTTTTGTAACTTCATGAACATTCCTTTTTTTCTGGAAAAAGATCAATATTTATATGTAATAATAATGTCAAAGGAATACATGGTATCAAAAAAAATGGCAGCTTCCCGGTCGGGTGCTCTATACATGGGTACCTGAAAGGACAGGTAACTGTGCAACTCCACAACTACAAAAACGATGAGTGGGTGAGGTGGATAGTTGATGGGCTGTACAAAAGTGGGGTTTAGTTGTCCATGTTTGCTGGTTGAGCATGACAACTATGTGTTGCCCTTGAGTCCTGCAGAATATATGGTGAAAAAGGTGGTGTAGCGTCTATGGAAGCAGGGCTTTATGAGATGCATAATCAATAATATTTTTTGGAGTCCCCTTCCACTTAAAGCCATTCTTAGCTGCCATAGTGTCATCAAACCTTTTCAGCACTTCCAGGTGGGCCACTTTTTCGACCGTGGTGAAATCAACCATCATGACGTAGCTTGAGAATGATCGTTAAGTGATCTTTTGTGAATCTCTAAAGATTCCTCCAAATCCTATAGGGAACAGGTTACTGAGGGGGCACCCATCAACATCATCAATATCATCAGAGCCTTTTCCCAAGTATTTAGGGTGGGATAGGGGACACCCGTAAACATTCTCAAAAAAATAAAAACTAGGTTGGTAGGACTTCAAAAGCTAGATCTTGGGTTTGGAATGTGGTGGGATGTAATGATGGATTGCCATGTAATTGGAAGCCTAAAGCTGATAAAGTTTGCAACCCTTTGTAACTTTTAGAACAAAAAATTTTGTCGGATTTTACGCTATCCTGGATGTTGGAGTTATGGCCTTTCAAGGCCTTGTGACACCGACATGTTAGTAACTTTTGATTACAATAGGAGTGAAAAGAGTGACATGATTCAAGGATCTTGGCGCATTGGGACCAAGAGTCTTGTAACACCGACATGTTAGTAACTCTTGATTACACTAGGAGTGAAAAGAGTGACATGATTCGAGGATCTTGGCGCATTGGGACCAAGAGTCATGGAAACCTTGGGACAATCCTGAGGAGGATTGGTGTATATATGAGAGGTGGCAAGACGTTTCATGGTTGCTTATAGTCAGAGTCGGTTATTGTTATTGTTATTGAGCCTGATTGGGCCTCATGACTTGATGATTGGGTCAGTGCGATGTTATTTTATATGTATGATGATTTGGGCTCGATTATTAGTCATGTATGGGAAGGTTAGGGCCAACAGAGGGTATTAGCCTAAGTCCTTGACTCTCAGAACCTTCTCAACATGTGCATAAACTGTTGCAAAGCATCGACTCTTCCAGGGATCCATTGAGAAGAGGTATGCACATGTGCCAAGAGAGGAACCCCCGCACCTTGTGTGCATGTCCTCTAGGAGGTGCACTTGAAATCCACTAGTACTTGGGGATTCAGGAATCCACTAAGAAGAGGTATGCACGTGTGCCAACAGAGGGCATGCCACTTTCTTTCTCTCTCTAGGCCCTTTAATGTGGCATGCCCTAGGCTATCTCCTCTTCCTTTCTCTTTTTCAAAGTATATGAAGGTGATATGAGAGAAATCTCCATAGAAACTCTATAAAGGCTCCATTAATAGTGATTCAAAGCTCAAATTCAAGCTATGGGTGATCTAGTCTTAAGGCCTTCATCAATTGAGTAAGATCTCATCAATTTTATTTGATTCTAGTTAATTCTCTGTGCTGTAAATTCTTAATTACAGCAAGCTTCCTTTGTCCATTTGATGTTAGATCATTGATTTCTTTCATCTACTCTGATACCCTTTGATCCATATAATAGTTGAAGGCATCATCTATGCACAAATTTATCTAGTTTCCATGTGATTTTGGAAGCCTTTTTTATTGATATATTTTTTTGAGATTTTTACAACAAAATTAGTCAATTAGATCTTCATTTTGATGCCTTAAATTGTGTTTTCATAAGAGAAGATTATACCGAATTTATGTGGCTTGATTTATGAACTAGTTTTATGTTTAAAGAGCCACGATTTCTCCTATGGTTTTGCCCTTGTTTTGATCATTTAATCTCTGCAAATCCTTCCCTGTTTCAACTGTATATCAATAGATTGATTCACTCTCTAATTGATTATTTTGGTGAGATCTCGAAATGAAGATTTATTTCTTAATTTTTCATGCTCATGCTATCGTTGTTCTCACGAAATTGAGAATGATTTGTGTCTCCTCTGTCTCCCACTTTTTCCCATGGTTTTGAATCCATTTTTAATCTCTCTCATATGTTAGAATGTGTCGTGAAAGTGTAGATGATGTGATGCTTAAAGGCTTTCCTATTTGATGTTGCTATTGGCCTACGTGAATGTGCCATCGAAAATCCTCCCATGGTACATAGCTATGACTCAAGACCATAAATTGGGCAAAATGAGGTCTATGATCGACATCCCTTGGAGGAGAAAAGAGTTTCAATTTAACGTATATGATGTAATTCCAAGGTCATATTAATTTGGCAATGTATTTGTATATTGTTGTATTGTTTAGATCATGTGTATGATCATGTGCTCAATCGATCTTCTTAAAATGTCTATGTGTCTATATAAGTCTCGACTCGCCCACTATTGATGGACTGTAGTCCTCTACCTTCTGATGATTTTTAACATTTAGGAAATCAGCAGCCTCAAGATGAATAGTTCGAGAAGTATGCAAAAACTGATGAATCACACTCATAGCATATGCAATGCTTGGAAGTTTGAGTGAGAGATATTTCAATCTACCCACCATCTGCAAAGAGGTGGCCTTTTGCTACTTAATCGGTACACTATGTGCAATGACTAAGCACAGATAAACAACCATCTATTCCTTCATTGCTCGGACATGAGTAAGTTGTGAAGCACCTTCTTCTAAACTTTTTACGCGGCATTGGGTGACCCTAAATCCATACATCAACTCTTCCAGGCTCTTCACTCCCCACCATACCTTTCATTTGGTTGTTTTCATTGGAGAGCTTCCATTATGTCCATCATATGGACTACAAAGTGGGAAAGGTAAAAGCAAGTTTTTTGAGGTGAACAAGCAAGCATACAATCAATCCAGTGAAGGTATATAGATAGTAGATACAATGTCCAAGTGACAACATAAAATTTCTTTTGATTTTAATACAACATAACTCAATTGCATCAAAATTCACATCATCAAATACAATTCCAGCCACTAAACTTGGTCGGTATGCACTCTTAAAACAAGATAAGACACTAATTGGTCTCTTTCCTTAATCCATGAACAATGAATGAATAAATGTTTGTTTGTCTTCGCTTTTTCATTGCACATTGTGCACCGATTACGTAGCTGAAGTCCACCTCTAGAAGAGCTGATGTACGGATTTAGGGTCACCCAATGTCACTTGAAACGTTTGGAGCAAGGTGCTTCACAACTTATGTCTGAGCAATAAAAGAATAGATGGTTGTTTGTCTCTGCTTATTCATTGCACATAGGGCATCCATTAAGTAGCTGAAGGCCATCTCTTTGCAGATGGTGGGTAGATTGAAATATCTCTCACTCATACTTCCAAACATTGCATATAAGTGTGATTGATCAGTTTATGCATACTTCTCGAACTACTTATCTTGTGGCTGCTCATAAAGTTCTTAAATGTTTAAAATCATCAAAAGGTAGCGGATTACAGTTTATTTATCATGGGCGAGTTGAGGCTTATATAGATGCATATTGGGCTCTATTATGGATCGGAGATCTTCATGTACATCAGGCTGCTATACTCTCGTTGGAGCTAATCTTGTAACTTGGAGGAGTAAGAAATGGTTAGTTGTTAGTAGGTGAAGTGTAGAAGTAGAACACAAATCCATGACCCATGGTACATGTGATTTACTTCCGCTAAAAATTCTTTTACAAGAACTTGATTTTCCTGTGACGAGGATAAATATTCATATGTTGTGATAACAATTGCTCTCTATTCTGTCCAATATGATAGAACCAAGCACATAGATATAAGGAGAAAGTTTATATAGAGCCGAGGCTCTAAACAATCAAATTAGAACCTACCTCAAAAATTTCACTAGAAGATGTTGTTTTGATGCCCAAATATCCTCAAATTGATCATCTCATCAAGATGCATTGTGATAACAATTGCTCTCTATTCTGTCCAATATGATAGAACTAAGCACATAGATATAAGGAGAAAGTTTATATAGAGCCGAGGCTCTAAACAATCAAATTAGAACCTACCTCAAAAATTTTACTAGAAGATGTTGTTTTGATGCCCAAATATCCTCAAATTGATCATCTCATCAAGATGCATGGACATGAGAAAAAAATAGATTTCAAGTTTTGGAAATAGTGTATTTTGTAACACATTTTTGGATCGTCAATTTTTAAGATTTTCAAGTTTTCATAGATCTGTGGATCTACACTATTTTTGAAACTTTAAACTTTATAAATAACGATGAAAATATATTTTAAGGCTATCACAATGATTTCCAGTTTTGAAACCCACATTTATTGACACTATTTGAAGGTAGGCTCTAATGTGATTGTTTAGAGCCTAGGGTTTATACAAACCGCACCCTAGATATAGTTTGACAGTTCGTTTGAGATCTACTTGCTACTAGAGAAATTTTCCTTACATATGTTAAAATAGAAGACCAAGCAGTAAGCCATTAAATATCCTTGCTAAGGCTGTTGGGAAACCTCGACTATAAGTGGTCTTAAGCGAGCTGGGCATGATTGATATCTATGCACCCGCTTGAAATGTCGTGAATTTCAAAGTCTATGGGTATTTCTCTTATATTTATGTCCCTAAGGGCTTATCTATCCTCTCATACTTAAGCAGTTTGTAATTTGTTGTTATAGAAGGGTTGAGGGGTATGTGGGCTAAGAACCCACCATGACTGCCTCTTCTTTGCTTCTCTACATTAACTCCTTTTCCTTCTCACCCTTTCTCTTCTATCTCCGATTTCTCTAAGCCACTTCCTCTCTCTCGAAACCTTCATCTTATTCCTTCGTTTCATCTTTTCATTTTTTAAGTGGGAAATACCATGTTTGGTAAGCCATCTTACAGTGGGTGAACAAGTGCATGATCGTCCATTCATTCTAGAGTACAAGTTCTATTAGACAGTACTAACCAGTTAAAGGCTTGTACTACAGGAGTTACATTGGTAAACTATGCCCCCACTAGCAACTACTTGGAGTGGGCTTGAAGGATGAGCATCTTGTTATACTGTGAATGTTCCAGTGGAGAAGGGCACATGATGAGCTCGTCATTCTCTTGCCTTGTGGTCAAGTGGGATGTGAAAAGGTCTAACATGGAGGAAAATTGAGGCGTCATCGTTATTGAGGTTTTGAAGAAATAGTGGCGACCGGACTAGCTGACCTCGGAGCACCTCATAGGTTTGAGAGGTTAAACATTCCTTGTCAGAGGTTTATGTGAGGGCGTCTGACCAATCCAAAGGTCTTAACAAAACCTAATTTAGTTACCACGTTTTGAGAAATCTCTGTGAGTGCTTACGATAGTGTCCCAGGCACCTGACACAACAGCCAACTGGGCGTTTTATGTAGTATGATCTGCTTGCCAGATGTGCTTATGATTATGGATGACTTCTTCCTACAATTTATTTTGCAAGGCTGAGTTGCAGTGTTTCTCAAATTTTCTACTACTGAGACCATCATTATGCTCCCATATAAACAGATTGGATTTGCCGGTATCACTAGTCCACTGTATAAGAAGTCACACATGAGATGCTCCAACTTCCTAACAAACGGCATGGGCATTCAGAAGATGGACATTTGGAATTTCTGATTGTCAGAACGAGACAACAAATAGTAACTTCTCTTTTTCGCATTTTTACTTCTCTTTCTTCCAAGAAGTATTTAGTATCTTTACAACTTCATAGACACAATAAGGGGCAGCATGAGGAAAACTTATGACAAGAATTCCACTTTGTTTTTCGCTAAATTTGCAACTGAAAGTAAATCAACTTTACCTCATGCAAGATGCAATATGCAGTGGAGAGACATCATTACATGTTGGAGTTTGAAATGTGTTTATGTATGCGATATCAATATCAATTTCATTGGGATTTGACCTAGCTTCATCTGCCTTTTTAGTGTGTGAGCATAGTGAAGGCCAAACCCCAAAGTTTACTTGGATGCATATGCGGAGTGAACCAAAAGACTTGTAATTGAGTATGGAGTGAACCAAAAGAGTTGTAATTGAGTGTACTAACTTTCCTACAAGTTCCAACCCTTATTTAACCTAGCTTCCTCTCGAGGTTTCTCATCTCCTACATGACCATAGGAGCTTTTATACTCATGTTAATTGCATGCACGTAAAGATGTGTCCTCATGGTAACTACTTGTATATAGATACGTCTCTGCATGGTGACCACTTGGTATATGAGCCTCTCTTATCGCAATGACCATATGTCAAGAAAGTGAAACGCTTGTCCACGTACATGCATAAAAGTCAATGAGCTTCCTCTTGTCCTTACATGTGGCACATCTAAATTAAAATATTTAAAAATGTAGTGTTCCAATATAGTTATGTCATTATGTACTTTATTTGATACTTTTTTATTATTCAACTTAGAAAGTATTTAACAAGATCATCTATTAATATTCAATAAGTTCAGATCTTATGGGGGCCTTCCTGAGTCTAATGTCCAGTGAATTTGATATAGTCATGATTGTTTAAGAATTTTATTTGGAAATGTTCATATCTGGGATTGAGGGAATTGAGGCATCAAAGCAAGGTTATACATTGTCTCTGAGCTCATCTATTCAAAAACTTCTTGTACTAGCCTTTGTCCATGATGTCCAAGGCATTGGAATCAGGAGACTGGCCCACAATGCAGTAAGTATGTATGCTTTAATTCAGAAGCTAGGAAGGGTGCTTCTTGTTTAGGCAATTTTAGGTCCTTGAGCGAATAAGTCTAATCCGTACCTGTGATTTTTTGTGGGATATTTGAAGTTGTCTTTACCCAAGAACAACTCAGTGCCAGTGAAACATTAAGTATTGCATGCATCCTTCCCTTCTCACATTGATGCATCCAGTGTTCTGTTGGCCTTTAATAATGTCCTTCACAAGGGAGAGACTCATCATGGAGCAATTAAGCACTATAGCACATCCTTAAGGCATGAAAAACATTATTTTGCATTGCTGTATGAAAGGATTTGCTCTCTCAGGGTCATATCTCCAGCGCTAGATGGTCCTTGTCCTGCTAGGCTGTCTTCTATGGCTGATCAAAGCTCTAGTCTAGGCTTTTTGAGTTAGCAGGGAATGGTGGGTGAGGTGAGGTCTCTTCTGGAAAACCAATCCAAGGTCGAGTGGCAGCTATCCAATCCAATCCGATTCGACTATAGTGTTCCTGATTGAATAGAAAACTGTTACATAAAAAGGGAATAATTTCTGTTCATATGCAATCTCTTTATTTTTGAGCAGTTTTATCAGTTTGATTGTTGGTTGAACTGGGTTCTGACTTCACCGAGCTTTGACTGTCTGCTAGATTTTTTTTTTTCGGTTTAAGGATCCATTAGACTGGATGATGACAGGTTGTAGCCATAACTATGTTAACTGGCCTGCGGTGCAGTCATTTTTCAGAACATATCACAATTTGATTGGTTACTCAAATTGTCATTATGCATTTGCCTAAGCATGCTTGTCTTGGAAAATTCTCAGTGTGCATATGACACCTGTGGCTGAAAAGTTTTCAAACATAATACAAATGAACAATAGCTTTGAGTTAAGAAAATAACAAAAAGCAGATGATTTCATGGATGACCTATATTCTACCTTAAGTTTCATTATGTTGATTTTTAATGGATTTATTCAAATAATTACCATCCATTTTAGAACAAGAAATGAAGCTGTCTGTGACGTGGCGTTTTCTTTGGCAGAAATGTCTACATAGCATGATAAAAGTCATCTAGGAATGTTACTTTGTATGTAACTAGATAAAGAAGGATGATGAAATGTTTTAGTTCTGTTTTGAGACAAATCGTGAAATCAGTGGCAGCACTTGTTCATGTCTCGCTGTTTCTGTTTCTTTACATTCTATATCGCTATGCTTCTGAAACCGTCTATCAGTATTTTTATTTGCAGCCTTCTAATATGGTTGCATTTTATTTGTTATTTATCACATTTCAGATCGTACTTTGCTTTCTAATATTTTTGTTTTAAATTTTACAGTCTGAATTACTTAAGGTGCCACCTGAAAGTGATGCCATTGAAGGTAGACCTAACACTGACGGTAATGAAGCTGATGAAAAGAAGAATTCTAACAAGCAGAAGCATCATCCATTATTGTTAATGGTGAATGAATTATGATGAATTTACTTGCCTATGGATTTCCTCACTAAATACAATTTTCTTTCGCTTCTAGCAAAAATTAGGGAAATGAAGGAATAGTGGATAAGTATGATAGTCTTTTTGATTTCTTTTTCTAAATTCTCTGTAGATGTTATGTACAAAGTGTAGTTATATTTTCTTCTACATAGCAGTTATTCTTCATTTGATCATATGGCTCCCTTCTATATATTTTCAGTTACTTGCATCTGAGGCTTGTTGTGAACCTGATGAGATATGTGATTTTGAATTGCAAGCATGCGATACACAGCCTAGCATCATAGGTGGTGCTGCAAAAGAATTTATGTTTTCAGGAAGACTGGACAACCTTTGCATGTCCTTCTGTTCTTTGAGGGTGAGTACTATTTTAGCGTTGAAAATAGTTTTTCTATTGAATTAATCTCATATGCATGATGCAAAGCATATTTTGCATAACAATTAACTGTAGTTTTTTCTGTATCTGCAAATAAGTTTATCTCTGAAACTCTAAAATGCCTTTATCCATAACCTATTCGGATGCAAGGCTCTTTTTGGATGATTAAGCCTGAAGTACTTGAGACAGGCGCCTCAATTTTCGAACTCACTAGAACTTTTGAAATTGACATTAGAATTGTATTATGATTTTTATTTTTCTTTCTTTCTGACTACGATTCTGATTATTTCCCTCTACATGTGTAACTACTGCATTCACAGGGACTGATAATTGCTTCCACTTTTCTCTTATACTGTGTGCAATTTCATTGTTCGTAATATTCTCAATTTCTTCCCTTTGCTTGTGATTGGATTGGTTTATGTGTGGTTTGAATAATGAAATGGATCTGCATCGTCCTTTTGTGGAGAACTTCTTTTGAGTGAGATGAACTGAGTGCCTCAATCGAGATGTTCACTTGCGCTTTGGTTGATATGGCTCCTTTAGAGAATGGTTTTCATCGTCTAATAGCCGCACTGGGGCTTGATGTATTCGTGAACGCCTAGATAGAGCTCTGGACAATGCAGAATGGTTGATGTTTATGCTGGATTTGAAAGTGGAGTTACTTCCTAAAGGAATATCAGATCACTTGCCGATCCTGGTTATTCCTTCATTTCTCCCACCCTCAGGTCCCGAACTTTTAAAATACTTTACAATGTGGCAGGAGGCACCAGATTTCATCGACCTAATTGAACAATCCTCACAAAGGGAGGTTGAGGCCAGTCCAATGTTCAAATTTGTTTCTAAGCTTAAACGGCTACAAGGTGACATAACCAGGTGGAACAAAAACTCGTTTTGGCAATATTGGCATGAAGATAAGACACTCCATGGACAGGCTTTCAGTTTGCGTGGTTTGATTAAGAAGATCCCCAATGATTTTTCTTTGGCCTTAGAAGAAGCTGAGCTCTGTAATTAATTGCAGCATTTATTATCCTAGGAGGAGAGTTTATAGAGACAAAAATAGAGGGAAGTTGGCTGAAGGACAATGACTCAAACACCAAGTTTTTTCATATGTCGATTTTCACTAGGAGACGAAATGATAGAATCCTGTATTTAAAGTATTCAGTCGGGAACCGAATTTCAGATTCTAACACATCAAACTCATACTCTTGGCATCAACTGTTCAGGAAAACCCTCTCTTGGGGCCGATAGTCAATGACGTCCTTCCACAAGGGCGTGTAACAAAAAATCAATGTAATGAATTAACATGTGATATTTCTTTCGTGGAAATAACAAACTGTGTGAGATGATCTGAAAGTGCTATGGGTCCTGATGGTTTTGGCATGGAGTTTTATAAGTTCAACTGGGAGGTAATACACAATGATCTTGTCATTGCTCTAAAAGATTCTTTGGGAGAGGTAAATTTCTAAAGGAGATAAATACAACTTTTATTTATCTAATTCCTAAAGTCACTTGCCCTACTTCCATGAAAGAATTTAGATCCATTGGCCTATGCAATTTATTTTACAAGATAATCAGCAAGATATTAGCCAACGAGTTTTGGAAGGTGCTCGAGGACTTCATTCATCCTTGTCAAGCTGCATATCTTAAGGGGAGACTGATTATTGATAATGTCATCATGGCTAACGAGTTAATCTCTCTATGTCATAAAAATTCAGCCATACGAAAAATGTGCGTGCAAGTGGATCTTAGTAGTGCTATGTTCGTGTATTCTGGATGTTTATTTTAGACAGACTCCGTGCAGTGGGATTTCCAGAGACCTTGATTACTTGTGTTGGACATTGTATTTCTATGTTGTCCTTTTCTATTCTCTACAATGGCTCTCCTGTGGGCTATTTTAAAGGGACAAGAGGCCTTCCTCAAGGGGATCCACTATCCCCATATTTATGTATTTCTATCGTGGACTTTCTCAGCAGGATGATTAAGGTGGCAACTGCAAGTAATTCTCTTCCATCAGCCTTTCCACAGGATGTAACTATGGGGTTAATCAGCTTTTGTATGCAAATAATGCCCTTTTCTTCTGTGAGGCCTCAGTTCAAGCAACTCTTTCTATCAAGTATATTCTAGATGATTTCTGTTTAGTCATAGTCTAGAAGCTCAACCACAGTAAAAGAAAAATAATTTTCTTTGGGGTAAATGCAATATTAAAAAGCAGGGTGCTAGATATTCTCAAATCTAAGATTGCATATCTCCCTGTGAGGTACGTTGGTTTTGCCGTTATTTCATGGGCTGCTGAGATTTTCTCATTGCCATAGCGTATTTGAGAAGATAATAAGCAAAATAGGCTCTTGGCAAGCATTGTCTCTCTCCTTTGCAAGACATTACAACTTCTAAAGTCAGTCCTCAGCGCCTCGTCAATTTATTGGCTCCTCCCCTTCTCTCTTCTCAGCCGCACCTACAACATTATTGAGAAACTTTAGCTTAATTTTCTGTGGGCAATCTCAGATAACTGAAGAAGGGGGTTTGGGGCAGTGACATTAGGTTAGTTGGAATACTTTGTCTGAAAACTGAAGAATGGGGTTTTGTGCTGTGACATGTTCACGACTTTAATATGGATGGTATGATGAAAATTCATGGAGAATCATTTCAAACCCATCTTCCCTCTTAGCCTGCTTTTTAAAACATAGATCATCATCATCATTTTAGCCTTTTCTCAATTAATTGGGGTCGGTTACATGAATCCTGGTTCTTCATTTTGCTCTATTAAAGGCCATATCCTCAGTGATGCTATAAGTCCCCATATCTTTTTGGACTACTTCCAACCACATTCTTTAGGGCCTACCCCTTGCCCTTTTCAGTCCTTCCAGTTGAACTAACTCGCACCTCCTAATAGGTGTTGTACTTGGTCGCCATCACACATGGCTAGCTCACCTAAGTCTACTCCCTCTCATTTTATCGCCTATTGGTGCCACGCCTAAATTCTCTCAAATGTATTCATTTCGAATTCTATCCTTTCATGTCTTGCCACTCATTCATCTCAACATCCTCATCTGTGCTACACTAATTCTATGGGTATATTGTTTTTTGTCCACCCAACATTCCGTCTCTTAGAGCAAAGTTGGTCTCACTGTTGTCCTATAGAACTTACCCTTCAGCCTCATTGGTATGTGGCGATCATATAAAATTTCAGTTGCACATCTCCTGCCCACCCAGCTATAATTCTTTGTGCGACATCTTCTTCAATCCCTCCATTTTCTTTTAAAGCACTGATATTTTCACAAATCATCTATCTGGTTTACTCAGATTAAAAGTTGCTCTCATGCTTGGAGAGGTATTACTTTGGGTCTAAATTCGTTGCGGAACAATGTGAGATGGATTGTAGGTGATGGAATTTTTGGGCTGACTTGTGGCTATCAGAGAGATTTATATATGAGAATCAATGGACAAACATACACAAGATCTGGGTGCTCTAGTCAAATATAGTGTTTGAATATCTGGAAGGTTTGCCCCAAAGTTGATCCCTACTATCCCCCACTTTGGTCCCCCTTATGCTTGGGAGGAGGTACAACCTCATGTGCTCCTCATCTGCCCCCTAGTGGATCAGCTGGTATGGATACACTCTGTTAATGGTGCTTTTTCAGTTGGGAGTGCATGGGATCAGATTCACGAGTCTACCCTTGTACAACAAGCTTTTAAAGCCCTTTGGTCCATGCCATCCTCGCCCTGAGCAAAGTGGTTCACTTGACTATATCTTCATGCCTGACTGCCTACCACTGGTTTGCTCTGGTCATGAGGCTTGTCGGTGGATTCTAGATGTCCCCTTTGCCTCCAAGAGGTGACTACTAACGATATTATTATGCATTGTTCCTATTCGCAAGTACTTTAGCAGTCTATTCTCTGGAGATTTGGCAAAAATATGCTCATCAAAAAGTCCATGGTTGTGATGTTCACCAAGTGGATCAAGTTTCGCTTTAAATCTTCTGGTATGAAAAATGTTTGGATGTCTTTCTTCTTTGTCACTATCTGCTGTATTGGGAAAGAATACAATTCTCGCTTACATGGAGGAAACAACATCCAGGGAAAATTTATTGAGGCGAATCATCCACTTCTTCAGCTCGCTTACGAAGGCCCACACTTGGGCCTTTCATTATTCGGAGTGCATAATCACAGAAAACCTCTAGTTGCACTGGCACGTGGAGCCTTCTCATGTTTCACTGCAAGTGGCATGGTCGCTTCCCCCACTACTAGCCACCTCAAGCTTAACATAAATGGTTCCTCCATCCATAATCCTGGAGTTGTTGGTTGTGGCGGTATCATAAGGAATGATGATGGTGGTTTCAAGCTGCCTTTGCAGTTCCCCTAGATTTCAATTCTAATAATGTTGTCGAATTCGATGCTTTGAACTTGGGCGTCTCTCTAGCAAAGGAATTCAATTGCAAACACCTCATCATCGAAAGCAACTCTAGATTGCTTGTGGAATCCTTGAAACAAAGATGTAATCCCCCATGGAAGTTGCGTGTAGTCTCGGCTAACTACAAGGCAAGTCTCTCATCCTTTCAGACCATTAGTGGAAGATTTTCACATATATAGAGAGGCCAATATGGTTGCTAACTTTCTAGCAAAGAGGGCGCTATTCATGATAAAAGCAATAGTGTGGCGTGGTTGTCTCCCAGATGATCTAGATCCTTTGTAAAATGTTTGTAATTGGTCTTATAATTTGTTATTTCTTTAATAAAACAGATAAGGGCCCATCATCCTCACTGATTCACCCTAATTAGAAAAAAAGATGTTCACTTGCATGTTATACCACTACATGGTTTCGGCATCCATTCTGACGGTCATCATCATCATTAGAGCCTTTTCTCAACTATTTGGGATCAGCTATACGAATCATGGTCCGCCATTCTGCTCTATCAAAGACTATACCCTCAGTGAGGCTATAAGTCCCCATATAATTTCTCACTACTTTCAACTATGTCCTTTTG